CCTCTCGCTTGACCTCGCCCGCTACGACCTCCTCTTGATAAAATCCCTCTTGGAACTCCAGCGGTCCTTACTCCTCCCGTTTCTCTTCCTATCTTGGAAGGTGGGGTACTTTTACTTGGTTGTCCAGAAGAGTAACTAAGAGTGTTCTTTTTTTTAGTATGGAAGTCCTTAACTTGCAATCTTGCGCTTTCAACTCTCTGCGCTTTCTCTAGAGTTTCAGTGAATGTAGAAATTTGGGTTGCTGCCAACCCTTCTTGAATCTCCACATTAAGTCCTTGCACAAAATGCTTTATTTTTCTACCCTCGTTGACCACCAAATCCGGAGCGTAATTGGAAAGTCTAGTGAACTTCCTCTCATACTAGGCCACACTAGAGGTCCCATGTCTCAACTTTATGAATTCGTCCTCCCACTTCTCTTGGATCAGAGGTGGAAGAAACTTCTCATTGAACTCCCTCGTGAAGTTTTTTCAAGTCGAAGGGGTCTACGCTCTTTCCCACTTTCCCCTTATCATGTCCCACCAAGTACGTGCTACGCTTTCAAACTGAAAAGCAGCAAAGTTCACTCGTCTCTCTTCTGTATAGTCTAGGGTGGCGAAAATATTAGTCATTCGTTCCAACCAATTCTCCGCTAATTCGGGATCAGATCCCCCAATGAATTTAGGCGGATTAAATTTCAGAAATCTTTCCAAGGCTCTATCTTTCCCTCTATCCTGGGCCCCAGGTTAGTTAATTGGCCCTGGATCTTGTCGCTCTGCTAATCGTTTTAGGATATCAGTCACCTGGTTAATGACAGTAGCCACTTGATTACCCTCTACATTTTCTTATTCCTGGATCGATTCCGTTGCCGATCCTTGATCATCCCCTTGGATTTGAGGTTGTCTAGCCCACTTCCTGAGTCCCTTCCACTTCTACGACCGTCCATAGTCTTAATAGTTCTAAAGGCCTAGACGTACAATGAATGTACATAAGTAACGCAAAAATAACACTTTAATCATGCAAGACGAAAATAAATAAGAGAAAGATCAAAATGGTTGCAAATAACCATAATCCATGGCATAATTCAGAAGTCATAGTATAATAAAGTCGGGCACATCAAAAGTGAGTTCAAGTGTTTCAAAAGATATGCTACACAGTTAGACAAAATACAATGGCCTTTGGGCTAGCACCATCCTGACTAACCCCATTTACAAAAGTCAAAAGATTTATCACTCCAAATCTAATCATCAGCAGGACTATCAAGCGGAACCTCCTCCTCAGGATCCTCCTCGAAAGACTCCTTCTCGGTGCCCTCCTGAACAGGACTCTATACAACATCCATCACCTCATCGATCAACATAGTGGCGTCGGCTAGAATCCCAAAAACCCGATCCTGGACCTCCTCGCCTATCCTAATGAGTCAAACCATAACCCTCTGAAGCTCATCACGAGCGGTCTCAGCCCTAGTCAGCTCGCCTACGATCGTCCCCTCTAGCTCTGCAATCCTAGCATCCTAAGCATCTACCATAGCGCTCAGCTCCTCGATTTCCTGGAGTAAGGCTTTGTTGGTATTCACCAACTGCCGACGCTCATCGTCGATGGATAGTACAAGGTCGTTAGGGTAAGCATGCGTCACTCTCCAGGGACAATAGGAAAACCTGGAGGATGGCGTGAATCAAACGCGAATTCCTCCACCAAGTGCTCGATAGTAGATAGACCTAAGAGACTCCACATGACCGTTAGCATGTCATTTGCCATTCTCCATCCCTGCAAAACAACCTCAAATTCTCGGTTAGAAAGTTAAAGTCACTAATTTGCTCAAACATCAACTCAAAGTATAACTAAATTATCTCATTTCTATTCTCGAGAATAAAGTCTCTAATATATCTCCCAAGTAGATCTCTAAACCTAGTGCTGTGATACCAACTGTGACGCTTCCACTTCTCCTTAAGGCGAACCAAAGGGTATCAGCGGGACGCTTGTCTAACTCTCACCAGGACTCGATACAATTCCAATCCAAACTTAAAGATAAATAATCAATAATAAAAGTCGAAGTACATCAAAGTCGCTTCCTTAGGTAAACGTTCAAATCTTACATCATAAGTTCTCAAAAATACATCAAATCCCAAAATGCAACCATTAGAACCAAGGTACTAATCAAAAGAGTAATCTAGTCGACTTTTCTCTCACTTGAAATTCAGAAATTCAAATCACAGATAGGCCCAACATTCGATTCAAGTCAAAATTCATTTTCCTGAAGAAACAGGACATTAAGTCAAGACAGCCTACTTTGAGGAGTCACGTACAGCCGTACACATGGAGGAAAAATATAAAATTTCTACAGAACCAAGGCCCATGTTTCTAGTTTCAAATGCCACTGACGGCACCTTAAACGGATTTTTCTACACCAAGATATAAGCATTTTACTGAAATTGGTCAGGGACATCCAAAAATCTGAAATGTCATTTTTCACATGTGAAAAACTCCTTTTTCTCTTTTTGCACCAAAATGTTTTTATTCAAACCATCCATACATTTCTTATATAATTCCAAAACAACATATTCCAGGCATTTCCATCCCTCATGATTTGAAGGAAATTTTCGAAACTAAGTTGAGCTTCCAACTCAACCTTCGGCCATCACAAAGGAAATTCCAGCATTTGTATACTAACCTCTTTAATTCAATCCTTCAATATATTAAATATTTCCTCGCCAAACCACTTAAATTTTGCATCTCTTATGTAGCTCAAGACCATCATAGTCCAAGGAAACAATAAAATTAAATGTTCAGAAACCATTTAAACTTTCTAAAGGCAAACTGAAATTTCTGGTTCAACCTTGCTTGCGGCTTCAAAGATTTCCAGCAAACAATTCAACTTTAGTTCAAATTTCCTTGGTTTAAACATGGTGTTAGTTACTCAATTCAACATTTTAAACACCTAGTTAGTTACTAAAATTTTCCACTTTCAAAATTGAGTTCAAACTATCATTATTAACATCAAAATTTCCAGAAATTTTCCTGCTTGGGCTCGGGTGATCATGCCTTGAAGCAGAATGTACTCTTAACCTTTATTTCTCTGATTTAAAACTTACTAATCAACTACATGCAGGGCCTAATTAACTTGTTATTAGTCATCTAATCATGGTTATAAGTTTAAACAACAACACTAAACCAAATCAGGTTGCAAAGCTTTAAGCTAAGCTCTCGGCCAAACCAGAAATTCTTCCAGCATTTGTTTAGTCACAAACCATTTTTTTTCTATGGTTAATTCCTGTATTTTGCACTTAATTTCACATGCACAACTGCTGAATTTAACTAGCTATCATATCCAGACCAGAAATCAGTTTGATAGCAACCAAATTGAACCAAGTTAAGCTGTAATAATTAAGCTAGGCTCTCGGCAGAATTTTCTTACCCCAAACTAACCCAGAAATTTATCTCTGCTTTAACACTTCATTCGAATGCCCAATTCATCATACATGGTCTTAATCTTCCAATTCTTACTCAGCTAAAGACATTTGGGTGTTCAGATTATCACACAAAACAAAATTGGAGCTGCAATAACACCTCAAGTCTCGGTAGCAACAATTTCTCAAAACAGAAATTTTCGTAAGGTTTTGATTTCAGCATCCGATTGTATAATCTAAACATGTAATCTCTGATATAGCTTGATCAACTAATAATCAACCTATTTTAGACCAGAAATTACCTCAGCTAGCAACCAATCTTTCACACGAAATTCCAGAAATTTCCTTCCTAGCTCTCGGCCAAGTGCAGATGGTGATTCTGGTTTGGAGTTGCGGCTGAAAAGGGTTGTGGATGAAGGTAGAATTGGTGAAGCTTCCGGCAGATTCCCTTCCCTGGCTTTGCTCCAACTCACGGCTGAATCCAAGAAGTTTCCGGCAGCTCTCTCCCTCTCTCGGTGCTCTCGGTCAAGGCAGGGAAGAAATGAGGTTTTGTTGTGAATCAAGAATGAAAGAGTAGAGTGGTATTTGGAGTGAAGTTGATTTCGACTTTGGTTTGTGCAGAGAAAGAGTCGGCTGAAATGGTTGTGAGATGTAGTGTGAATTTGATCAAGTGGTTTTGTGGTGCCGCGGTTTACGAAAGGTTGCGTATCGAATTGGTTAAAATGCAATTGGTCGAAGTTGCGGTGATGGGAATTTGTCATAAGGGTCGTTTGGTTTCGCATGGAATTGTAAGGTCTTTTGGTCTTTTCACTTGGTTTCCTAATCTCAACTTAATTTCTCAAATTTATCCTCAAGGGTGATTTGAACGCCTAATAACCCCTCCCAATATACTTAACCATTTTTATCGAATAAATATCGATTAAACTTAAATATTAAGGTTCCTAACATTATATAGCGATTAACTTAATTATCCGCATCTCCAATTGTTTATTCTCAAGAATTAAAGTTATCCTACACAAAATTTATCGAATTTTCATGCCTTAAGTATGTTTAGTATAGGAATATCATATTTATCTAAAATTCATTGATTTTTATCTTAACGCGGAAATTCCTATAAACATTTAAATTATTAACGATTAAAACTAGCTATCGGAAATCAAAGAATTTATTTTAAAGTAATAGAATTAATCCAACTCAAGAAATATTAATTTAGTATAGCAAAACCGAATAATTCAATATTGGCACAATTATATTATTTATTACATAGAAATTATCTTTACCCTTTTATTTCAAAACAATTAATTACAATACTAGAATTCAAAAAAATTAATTATTAGATCAATGAAATAGTTTACCATTGAAATATGAAGTTAATGTAACAAAACTAAGAAGTTTAGTAGTTTAGCACAATTCTTTTATTTTGCACATAACGTTTATTTCTACGTACTTACTTAAAAACAATTGGACTTAGTGCTAAAATTTATTAAAGAATTAAAATGCAAATAAAATATGCACTGATATTTATATGTCTATTTTCAGGGTTCTCACATCCTCCCCTCCTTAAAATGAATTTTGTCCTCAAAATTCTTACTTTCTTGAGAAACAAATCGGAATACTTTTTCTGCATTTCTTCTTCTAACTCCCAAGTTGCTTCTTCGGAAATCCAAAGTTCCAATACTTTTGTTCTGCAATCAAGCTTAGCATGGTGATGAGCTAGAAAATTCTTTCATATAATAACATCATAACCTCGTATGTCCAATTTGATTAGATCCACTAGTATTTTATGCCCTTCAATCCAGAATTCACAGTTATTATAAGTTAAGCTACTGATTAAAATCTTATTACCCATTGATGTTTTAACTTCAAGGTCAAGGGTAATCTAACAGGTTTGACGTTAACTCCGGATGGAAAAGTTTGGTTCACAAATGAATGAGTTGCGCTATGATCAATTAACACTCTAGCTAATTGATGAGAAATGGGAAGAGTACCTTCCACGGCTTCCGAAGAATCAGGTACAGGTTGGTCATTTATAGCGTAAACCCTGGTAGGAACTTTCGGCCTATTCTCTCTAATGTTGGCTGGTTCATCATTCAGGGTATTATCCTCTTGTATTTTCGGGCAACCGGCAATTTGGTGCTCGCTGCTTCCACACTTCAAGCACTTTCCTGCTTTCCTCCAGCAACCGGCCTCGGTATGTCCAGGTTTCTTGCAATACCCACAAGTTCCCAGGAAAGTTATCGCACGACTTCCTTGTGGAGCGTTCCTAGGTTGACCTCTTCCATTTGGTCCCCCGTTAGTTCCATTATTTCTTCCTCCGGCACCTCTGGCACCAGTTCCTCGACCCACTTTGGCCAGTGGAGCATTTGTATAAGTCGGCTCCCGACTGCTGCTAGGTGCAAATCTTTTCTTGGCCTGGTAAGTTTTTACTTGAGTTCTAGCAACTTCAACCCTTTGAGCTCTTTCTACAGCATCAGCAAATGTGTCTATCCGAACAGCAGCTAATCCCTCCTGAATTTCCACGTTTAGTCCCTGCACAAACCTCCGGACACGCCTTTGTTCCGTGGCTATCAGTTCAGGAGCAAATCGGGACAATTTTGTGAACTGGACTTCATATTCGGCGACACTCATCGCCCCTTGTTTACATTTTATGAAGTCGTCCTCTCTCTTTTCTTGAATGAGAGGTGGAAGAAATTTGGCGTTGAACTCCCTTGTGAAGTTCGCCCAGGTCCTGGGAATATGATTCCTGTCCCAATTGACCCTAATTAGGTTCCACCAGGAACGAGCAGCTCCTTCAAACTGGAATGCTGCAAAAGTCACTTGCCTCTCTTCCGTATAATTTAGAGCGGCAAAAATATCAGAGATCCTTTCCCACCAACCTTCGGCTACCTCAGGTTCTGGGCCTCCGTAGAACTTAGGAGGTCCAAACTTCAGGAATCTCTCTAATGCCCGATCCTCGTAATCGATTGGGCCTCCTTGCTGATGCACCGCTCCATGGGCTTGATGCTCAGTCATGCGCTCTAACACATCAGTTATTCTATTGATTGCGGTGGCCACTGGATCTCCGGCCACGTTTCCCTGACCATGGCCTGGGTTGGCCTCAGGTTCCCTATCACTACCACCCTCGGGGTGTTGCCTAGTTGGTCTCCCACGTCCTCTATTTCTAACTTGTAGATCCATAGCCTAGTTATGCCTATTGATAAAAATAAAGTGATCAAGCGAAGATGTTGCTATTTATTTACTTGTTATTATTAAGTGAAGTCAACATGAATACCAAGAGAAAGAAAATTTAAAACACTTAAAGCATATATTCACATACCAAAGTTCATACAACTTTAAAAGCCAAACAATTCACGGTACATTTAATATTTTCACACATAACTCATATTTCGATCTTTATAAACATGAAGGAAAGCAAGTCAATAATACACCGATTATTATAACCACATAACTAATAGCTCAACCCTTAGTTTAGATTCAACTTAAAAACCTTCCCATTAGATTGAAGTCCTTATTGGCACAATGCAGCCATCTAAAAAAGGCCCGCACCTAAACATTCTTCAGAAAGACCGATTGTCTGGTTTTTTCGAGAAATTCCTCTTAAATACGTAATTGGCACTAATCTTCAAGATCACACCATTGGCTCTTTACCTTTAACTTTCAAAAGTTAGACTTGATTCCTTCAATCCTACTTTTCCAAACTTAGTCATGATTTCTAGTCACATCATAATGCGATATACTGAATTCTTTTCAATTGCAAATACACCATTTAATGAAATATCTGGTATTCGGGTACAAGAATCTGACTATAGGATAATTCACACCTCAGGCTGGCCAGTCCCAAGAGTAACTTACCTATATTTGAGATTCCTACCCAACATACATGTCTAATATCCCAACTATAAACTTTTGTTCCACACTTAACGAGTCAATCCCCACAGTCCGAGAGTCCTCTCCCGGCACGAGCTCGATAAGAGCTCTGATACCACCTGTGGCGACCCCACTTTCCCCTAAGGCGAACCAAAGGGTTGGCGGGCCGTCTGCCCAGCTCTCGCCAGGACTCATGCAAGCATTCTAACCTAAAACCTTGGAGTAATAAACTACTCTGTTACAAAACAAATTTTCCCGAATAAGATCATCCTTACATCCAACTTAACTTCAGAGATAGCAGAGATAAATTAGCCAGTCGAGGCTCTTAAACATCCCACGTGCTACGTACCAAAATATAAAGTCGTACCAATCCGGGTAGATAAATACATAAATCTCTATTACAAATTTACAGGCCAAGTAATCGAATTAGGGTTTACCCATTTTCCCGTTTCAAGTGGCAACCCAAAAGAAAAGTGCATTATCTCAATAACACATTACAGCCCACAGAATAAGTTATAGCATTCAAATACAATCCAAAAGGAAAACTTAAGTAAGCATCCAGCTTTCAGTTTAATTCCAGAAAACCTGTTTGATACGGAAAAAAAATAAACGTGGTGAGGACTAAAGCTGCAGAATGGTGCCTCAATCCAAAAAAACATTGCAATCAATTTAAAACAATACACGACGTATTGATCGATTGAAAGTAAACAAATAGGAAGGTCGATTAATACCGTCTCCAAGTGTACTTAGACTGTAGAGCGGGATTACCCAACGACGGTACGTCCTGAACTACATATTTTAATATGACTTCGTCCGTAGGGATTTCACCAAACGACTTTACGTCTAAGCATCTGTGATTTGAATTATTATAGACTCGTCGAGGGATTCACCCAACGACTTTACGTCTAGCACTTGATTGATTATTATTGACTCGTCGAGGGATTCACCCAACGACTTTACGTCTAGCACTTGATTTATTATTATTGACTCGTCGAGGGATTCACCCAACGACTTTACGTCTAGCACTTGATTGATTATTATTGACTCGTCGAGGGATTCACCCAACGACTTTACGTCTAGCACTTGATTCACAAAAAAAATGTTTTACGCAAGTCACCACTCGAAAGGCTAGTGTGATAAAGTACACATTGCTCACTTCGATGGGTCAAAACCACTTCATAGTTATAATATAGCAAGTTAATAAAGCGCTTAACCACATAACATAAAACAAGCAGGGACACTCACCAAGAGTGAAGTTCAGATGTCAAGTTGGGAATCGAATTCCGCTTCCTCGCAATATCCTAGAATATCAAATATTGAAATTATAAGCTTTTATTCAGTCTTTAGACTCGAACACATTGAGGTTTATCTAATATATTGCTAGTTTACTTTCCCATAGTAATTTCAAAAATCTACTTAGATTGAAACTTGACACAAATAGTAGAAATGTTTCTTATAATTTTCCTTGAGGTACTTTTCCTTATAAAAAGGGTAACTAGTATAAATTTTCTGGAAATAAGTCGACAAACCTCTTAATATCAATGTTAGAAAGTTACTTTGAACATTTCTTTAAAGCTATGGTTCCTGCAAAAATTATTACTAAAACTATTTTACCCTAAAATAAGGTTTCTTGCTGAGCAAGTTTCCCATGCTTTTCCCCAGAATTATTACAACTCGTATTTTGGAACTTTTCCTATAGTTAACTATAGCTTAAGGAAAGAAAATGAATTAAAATAAGACTTAGAATTTTCAAAAGCTATATAACTTATTTACTAATCGAGGCTAGTTTGAGCTAAAGGAAATTATCGAGTTGGAAAGTTTTATAATATAATACTAGCTGGAAAAATATTTCTGATTAATTTGATCACAGCTACTCAAGTTCGCAAGGTCGATACAACTTCCACAGCTCCGATTCCGTTTCGAAATTATAATATGGATCAAAATATGACAAAAATCACATAGCAAATTACTAGGGCTTCGTCAATCATTAGCCCTAGATTTCAACAAGTGCATTTCTGAATAAAATAAAATGATCAACCAAGGCTTCATCAATCATTAGCACTTGGTTTCAGCAAGCCCATCATAAGCAACTAAAAATAAAATAAAAGTAAAGCCTCCAAGACATTCCAGCAATTAACTTTCGTCACCCTGTAGTACTTAGAAAATCATTCAAATGGCCAAGAGCTTCATCAATCATTAGCTCTTGATAGCAACCAATCACTTTCAAACCAAAATTTCAACTAGAAACAAGGAGTAAAGTCACGGCTAATTTAACGCTTAAATAACTCGAGAAATTCAGATTACCACCATAGCATTTTACTAGGCTCAATGCCATTCACATACCAGAAAATTTTAGCATGTAAGCTTCACTTGAAATTCAGAAATTCAAATCACAGATAGGCCCAACATTCGATTCAAGTCAAAATTCATTTTCCTGAAGAAACAGGACATTAAGTCAAGACAGCCTACTTTGAGGAGTAACGTACAGCCGTACACATGGAGGAAAAATATAAAATTTCTACAGAACCAAGGCCCATGTTTCTAGTTTCAAATGCCACTGACGGCACCTTAAACGGATTTTTCTACACCAAGATATAAGCATTTTACTGAAATTGGTCAGGGACATCCAAAAATCTGAAATGTCATTTTTCACATGTGAAAAACTCCTTTTTCTCTTTTTGCACCAAAATGTTTTTATTCAAACCATCCATACATTTCTTATATAATTCCAAAACAACATATTCCAGGCATTTCCATCCCTCATGATTTGAAGGAAATTTTCGAAACTAAGTTGAGCTTCCAACTCAACCTTCGGCCATCACAAAGGAAATTCCAGCATTTGTATACTAACCTCTTTAATTCAATCCTTCAATATATTAAATATTTCCTCGCCAAACCACTTAAATTTTGCATCTCTTATGTAGCTCAAGACCATCATAGTCCAAGGAAACAATAAAATAAATGTTCAGAAACCATTTAAACTTTCTAAAGGCAAACTGAAATTTCTGGTTCAACCTTGCTTGCGGCTTCAAAGATTTCCAGCAAACAATTCAACTTTAGTTCAAATTTCCTTGGTTTAAACATGGTGTTAGTTACTCAATTCAACATTTTAAACACCTAGTTAGTTACTAAAATTTTCCACTTTCAAAATTGAGTTCAAACTATCATTATTAACATCAAAATTTCCAGAAATTTTCCTGCTTGGGCTCGGGTGATCATGCCTTGAAGCAGAATGTACTCTTAACCTTTATTTCTCTGATTTAAAACTTACTAATCAACTACATGCAGGGCCTAATTAACTTGTTATTAGTCATCTAATCATGGTTATAAGTTTAAACAACAACACTAAACCAAATCAGGTTGCAAAGCTTTAAGCTAAGCTCTCGGCCAAACCAGAAATTCTTCCAGCATTTGTTTAGTCACAAACCATTTTTTTTCTATGGTTAATTCCTGTATTTTGCACTTAATTTCACATGCACAACTGCTGAATTTAACTAGCTATCATATCCAGACCAGAAATCAGTTTGATAGCAACCAAATTGAACCAAGTTAAGCTGTAATAATTAAGCTAGGCTCTCGGCAGAATTTTCTTACCCCAAACTAACCCAGAAATTTATCTCTGCTTTAACACTTCATTCGAATGCCCAATTCATCATACATGGTCTTAATCTTCCAATTCTTACTCAGCTAAAGACATTTGGGTGTTCAGATTATCACACAAAACAAAATTGGAGCTGCAATAACACCTCAAGTCTCGGTAGCAACAATTTCTCAAAACAGAAATTTTCGTAAGGTTTTGATTTCAGCATCCGATTGTATAATCTAAACATGTAATCTCTGATATAGCTTGATCAACTAATAATCAACCTATTTTAGACCAGAAATTACCTCAGCTAGCAACCAATCTTTCACACGAAATTCCAGAAATTTCCTTCCTAGCTCTCGGCCAAGTGCAGATGGTGATTCTGGTTTGGAGTTGCGGCTGAAAAGGGTTGTGGATGAAGGTAGAATTGGTGAAGCTTCCGGCAGATTCCCTTCCCTGGCTTTGCTCCAACTCACGGCTGAATCCAAGAAGTTTCCGGCAGCTCTCTCCCTCTCTCGGTGCTCTCGGTCAAGGCAGGGAAGAAATGAGGTTTTGTTGTGAATCAAGAATGAAAGAGTAGAGTGGTATTTGGAGTGAAGTTGATTTCGACTTTGGTTTGTGCAGAGAAAGAGTCGGCTGAAATGGTTGTGAGATGTAGTGTGAATTTGATCAAGTGGTTTTGTGGTGCCGCGGTTTACGAAAGGTTGCGTATCGAATTGGTTAAAATGCAATTGGTCGAAGTTGCGGTGATGGGAATTTGTCATAAGGGTCGTTTGGTTTCGCATGGAATTGTAAGGTCTTTTGGTCTTTTCACTTGGTTTCCTAATCTCAACTTAATTTCTCAAATTTATCCTCAAGGGTGATTTGAACGCCTAATAACCCCTCCCAATATACTTAACCATTTTTATCGAATAAATATCGATTAAACTTAAATATTAAGGTTCCTAACATTATATAGCGATTAACTTAATTATCCGCATCTCCAATTGTTTATTCTCAAGAATTAAAGTTATCCTACACAAAATTTATCGAATTTTCATGCCTTAAGTATGTTTAGTATAGGAATATCATATTTATCTAAAATTCATTGATTTTTATCTTAACGCGGAAATTCCTATAAACATTTAACATTATTAACGATTAAAACTAGCTATCGGAAATCAAAGAATTTATTTTAAAGTAATAGAATTAATCCAACTCAAGAAATATTAATTTAGTATAGCAAAACCGAATAATTCAATATTGGCACAATTATATTATTTATTACATAGAAATTATCTTTACCCTTTTATTTCAAAACAATTAATTACAATACTAGAATTCAAAAAAATTAATTATTAGATCAATGAAATAGTTTACCATTGAAATATGAAGTTAATGTAACAAAACTAAGAAGTTTAGTAGTTTAGCACAATTCTTTTATTTTGCACATAACGTTTATTTCTACGTACTTACTTAAAAACAATTGGACTTAGTGCTAAAATTTATTAAAGAATTAAAATGCAAATAAAATATGCACTGATATTTATATGTCTATTTTCAGGGTTCTCACATCCTCCCCTCCTTAAAATGAATTTTGTCCTCAAAATTCTTACTTTCTTGAGAAACAAATCGGAATACTTTTTCTGCATTTCTTCTTCTAACTCCCAAGTTGCTTCTTCGGAAATCCAAAGTTCCAATACTTTTGTTCTGCAATCAAGCTTAGCATGGTGATGAGCTAGAAAATTCTTTCATATAATAACATCATAACCTCGTATGTCCAATTTGATTAGATCCACTAGTATTTTATGCCCTTCAATCCAGAATTCACAGTTATTATAAGTTAAGCTACTGATTAAAATCTTATTACCCATTGATGTTTTAACTTCAAGGTCAAGGGTAATCTAACAGGTTTGACGTTAACTCCGGATGGAAAAGTTTGGTTCACAAATGAATGAGTTGCGCTATGATCAATTAACACTCTAGCTAATTGATGAGAAATGGGAAGAGTACCTTCCACGGCTTCCGAAGAATCAGGTACAGGTTGGTCATTTATAGCGTAAACCCTGGTAGGAACTTTCGGCCTATTCTCTCTAATGTTGGCTGGTTCATCATTCAGGGTACTATCCTCTTGTATTTTCGGGCAACCGGCAATTTGGTGCTCGCTGCTTCCACACTTCAAGCACTTTCCTGCTTTCCTCCAGCAACCGGCCTCGGTATGTCCAGGTTTCTTGCAATACCCACAAGTTCCCAGGAAAGTTATCGCACGACTTCCTTGTGGAGCGTTCCTAGGTTGACCTCTTCCATTTGGTCCCCCGTTAGTTCCATTATTTCTTCCTCCGGCACCTCTGGCACCAGTTCCTCGACCCACTTTGGCCAGTGGAGCATTTGTATAAGTCGGCTCCCGACTGCTGCTAGGTGCAAATCTTTTCTTGGCCTGGTAAGTTTTTACTTGAGTTCTAGCAACTTCAACCCTTTGAGCTCTTTCTACAGCATCAGCAAATGTGTCTATCCGAACAGCAGCTAATCCCTCCTGAATTTCCACGTTTAGTCCCTGCACAAACCTCCGGACACGCCTTTGTTCCGTGGCTATCAGTTCAGGAGCAAATCGGGACAATTTTGTGAACTGGACTTCATATTCGGCGACACTCATCGCCCCTTGTTTACATTTTATGAAGTCGTCCTCTCTCTTTTCTTGAATGAGAGGTGGAAGAAATTTGGCGTTGAACTCCCTTGTGAAGTTCGCCCAGGTCCTGGGAATATGATTCCTGTCCCAATTGACCCTAATTAGGTTCCACCAGGAACGAGCAGCTCCTTCAAACTGGAATGCTGCAAAAGTCACTTGCCTCTCTTCCGTATAATTTAGAGCGGCAAAAATATCAGAGATCCTTTCCCACCAACCTTCGGCTACCTCAGGTTCTGGGCCTCCGTAGAACTTAGGAGGTCCAAACTTCAGGAATCTCTCTAATGCCCGATCCTCGTAATCGATTGGGCCTCCTTGCTGATGCACCGCTCCATGGGCTTGATGCTCAGTCATGCGCTCTAACACATCAGTTATTCTATTGATTGCGGTGGCCACTGGATCTCCGGCCACGTTTCCCTGACCATGGCCTGGGTTGGCCTCAGGTTCCCTATCACTACCACCCTCGGGGTGTTGCCTAGTTGGTCTCCCACGTCCTCTATTTCTAACTTGTAGATCCATAGCCTAGTTATGCCTATTGATAAAAATAAAGTGATCAAGCGAAGATGTTGCTATTTATTTACTTGTTATTATTAAGTGAAGTCAACATGAATACCAAGAGAAAGAAAATTTAAAACACTTAAAGCATATATTCACATACCAAAGTTCATACAACTTTAAAAGCCAAACAATTCACGGTACATTTAATATTTTCACACATAACTCATATTTCGATCTTTATAAACATGAAGGAAAGCAAGTCAATAATACACCGATTATTATAACCACATAACTAATAGCTCAACCCTTAGTTTAGATTCAACTTAACCTTCATTAGTTTAGTCTTTGACAATCCCACTAGGCCCCACTCATTCTTCCGATTTCGCTTCCATAAATTCCTCTTAAATACGTAATTGGCACTAATCTTCAAGATCACACCATTGGCTCTTTACCTTTAACTTTCAAAAGTTAGACTTGATTCCTTCAATCCTACTTTTCCAAACTTAGTCATGATTTCTAGTCACATCATAATGCGATATACTGAATTCTTTTCAATTGCAAATACACCATTTAATGAAATATCTGGTATTCGGGTACAAGAATCTGACTATAGGATAATTCACACCTCAGGCTGGCCAGTCCCAAGAGTAACTTACCTATATTTGAGATTCCTACCCAACATACATGTCTAATATCCCAACTATAAACTTTTGTTCCACACTTAACGAGTCAATCCCCACAGTCCGAGAGTCCTCTCCCGGCACGAGCTCGATAAGAGCTCTGATACCACCTGTGGCGACCCCACTTTCCCCTAAGGCGAACCAAAGGGTTGGCGGGCCGTCTGCCCAGCTCTCGCCAGGACTCATGCAAGCATTCTAACCTAAAACCTTGGAGTAATAAACTACTCTGTTACAAAACAAATTTTCCCGAATAAGATCATCCTTACATCCAACTTAACTTCAGAGATAGCAGAGATAAATTAGCCAGTCGAGGCTCTTAAACATCCCACGTGCTACGTACCAAAATATAAAGTCGTACCAATCCGGGTAGATAAATACATAAATCTCTATTACAAATTTACAGGCCAAGTAATCGAATTAGGGTTTACCCATTTTCCCGTTTCAAGTGGCAACCCAAAAGAAAAGTGCATTATCTCAATAACACATTACAGCCCACAGAATAAGTTATAGCATTCAAATACAATCCAAAAGGAAAACTTAAGTAAGCATCCAGCTTTCAGTTTCCAGAACCTGTTAAGGAAAACAATAAACGTGGGGTGAGCTAAAGCTCAGTGGTGCCCCAAAAACATGCAATCAATTAAAACAATTAACACGTATTGATTCGATTGAAGTAAACAAATAGGAAGGCGATAATACCCAAGTGTACCTTAGACTGGTCGAGGGATTCACCCAACGACGTTACGTCCTGAACTTACATTATTATTATAGACTCGTCGAGGGATTCACCCAACGACTTTACGTCTAGCACTTGATTGATTATTATTGACTCGTCGAGGGATTCACCCAACGACTTTACGTCTAGCACTTGATTTATTATTATTGACTCGTCGAGGGATTCACCCAACGACTTTACGTCTAGCACTTGATTGATTATTATTGACTCGTCGAGGGATTCACCCAACGACTTTACGTCTAGCACTTGATTCACAAAAAAAATGTTTTACGCAAGTCACCACTCGAAAGGCTAGTGTGATAAAGTACACATTGCTCACTTCGATGGGTCAAAACCACTTCATAGTTATAATATAGCAAGTTAATAAAGCGCTTAACCACATAACATAAAACAAGCAGGGACACTCACCAAGAGTGAAGTTCAGATGTCAAGTTGGGAATCGAATTCCGCTTCCTCGCAATATCCTAGAATATCAAATATTGAAATTATAAGCTTTTATTCAGTCTTTAGACTCGAACACATTGAGGTTTATCTAATATATTGCTAGTTTACTTTCCCATAGTAATTTCAAAAATCTACTTAGATTGAAACTTGACACAAATAGTAGAAATGTTTCTTATAATTTTCCTTGAGGTACTTTTCCTTATAAAAAGGGTAACTAGTATAAATTTTCTGGAAATAAGTCGACAAACCTCTTAATATCAATGTTAGAAAGTTACTTTGAACATTTCTTTAAAGCTATGGTTCCTGCAAAAATTATTACTAAAACTATTTTACCCTAAAATAAGGTTTCTTGCCGAGCAAGTTTCCCATGCTTTTCCCCAGAATTATTACAACTCGTATTTTGGAACTTTTCCTATAGTTAACTATAGCTTAAGGAAAGAAAATGAATTAAAATAAGACTTAGAATTTTCAAAAGCTATATAACTTATTTACTAATCGAGGCTAGTTTGAGCTAAAGGAAATTATCGAGTTGGAAAGTTTTATAATATAATACTAGCTGGAAAAATATTTCTGATTAATTTGATCACAGCTACTCGAGTTCGCAAGGTCGATACAACTTCCACAGCTCCGATTCCGTTTCGAAATTATAATATGGATCAAAATATGACAAAAATCACATAGCAAATTACTAGGGCTTCGTCAATCATTAGCCCTAGATTTCAACAAGTGCATTTCTGAATAAAATAAAATGATCAACCAAGGCTTCATCAATCATTAGCACTTGGTTTCAGCAAGCCCATCATAAGCAACTAAAAATAAAATAAAAGTAAAGCCTCCAAGACATTCCAGCAATTAACTTTCGTCACCCTGTAGTACTTAGAAAATCATTCAAATGGCCAAGAGCTTCATCAATCATTAGCTCTTGATAGCAACCAATCACTTTCAAACCAAAATTTCAACTAGAAACAAGGAGTAAAGTCACGGCTAATTTAACGCTTAAATAACTCGAGAAATTCAGATTACCACCATAGCATTTTACTAGGCTCAATGCCATTCACATACCAGAAAATTTTAGCATGTAAGCTTCACTTGAAATTCAGAAATTCAAATCACAGATAGGC